GTTCAGAGTCCAGCTGTTCAGAGGCCAGCTGTTCAGAGTCCAGCTGTGAATGTTTTCTGGAACATGGGGACTAAACAGGTGTTTGTTCAATGTGAATAAATTCCAGTTTATTTTTTTATAACAGCTGCATTTCATTCATTTCGTGGAAAGTGGACGCAGCATTAAAACTGGTTTCTTAAAATCCAAATTAGCAGATCAGTCAAATGCATTTAGCAAACTCCCCCCCCCCCCCCCCCCCCCACACACACCCCCCCCAGGCCCAGAAGTGGGCATGTTTGATGAAAGTTGACAAACATAAAATGAGATCATCATTTCATGGAAGACCTTTGTCCCATTAAAACCCCGACTGTTAGATATCTATTGTCCCCGTCACCATCTGGGTCTCTGAAGGCTGGATTACTGACCCAGGACCAGGACCAGGCCCGGACCCAGAATCAGGTCCAATTACTTACCCAGACCCAGGATCAGGATCAAGTCCAATTACTGACCCAGACCCAGTTTTAGGACCATGATCAGGATCAGGTCCAGGACCAGACCCAGGATGAGGCTCAGGGTTGGAGCCAGGATCAGGACCAGGTCCAGCTCCTCTGCATCCGACAGGCCAGCAGCCAGATGTTGGTCTGAGCTGCAGATGTTTAATGTGAGAGCCTGAACCCTGTTCCAGGAGACCAGAGGACTTCTTCTCAACCAGCACAGATCAAACAACTGATCACAAGTTCTCTCTTGTTCCTCGGGGGGGGAGGGGGGCTCCCATGATGCACCTCTGGTTCGGATGGAGGTATCTTCCTGTTCAAACTGTTCTTTCCGTTGACCCCTGCAGGGTGGGGATGGAGGACTGGCTCCCAGGGTTTGTATGGCCATCAGCTGGTTTTCTGAGTGAGGAAACCATTTGACTTCTAATGTCTACATTCACTTCATAACTCACCTAATTTCTCCCTGAGATGGTTGTTAGTTCCTCTGATTGCTAAGCAGCTTAGTGTGACACAGGAAAACTAGTGGCCTCCTAACAGGAACTACTGCTTTTAGAAACCTGATGTGAAAGCCCCTGGCAGTCTGCCTCTACTGGCATCATGCAGCAGCTGAATGAGGCTCCTTGTCCCTCTAAGATCCAGCTGCATGCACACGTACATGTACATGTACACGTACACGTACATGTACATGTACACGTACACGTACACGTACATGTACATGTACATGTACACGTACATGAACACGTACATGAACACGTACACGTGCATGTACATGTACACGTACACGTACACGTACAGCCCGTCTCAGGGACCGAGGTCACTGTCCACTAAAACCCGGCCTCCAGGCTGAGGCCTGCCCCCTCTGTTCACAGCTCCAGCTCTCTGATCCCAGACATTATCAAAAAAGAAAGGCAGGGATGGCCCATGTTTTTGGTAGGCCGTGGCCCCTCAGTGGCCCCTGACACAGGGTGCAGGCGGGGCCCCGGAGCTGGAGCTGTGCTGCATCCAGAGGAGAGCGCTGGGGCTCTTCCAAAGGCACGATTGTAAACCCAAGTTTGACCGGGTGTGGATAAGGCACTGCAGCTATTCTAGGCGAGGACAGGCCTGACGCCAGGCGGTGCTGGTGGGGGTGGGGGGGGGGGGGGGGGGGCACTCGTGGAAAATAGGAAATGGGGAAACACATTCTTGTCGCTGTGATTTGAGAGAGTTTTGTCTTTTTCCTGCTCACTGAAGTCTCTTCAGGGCCTGAGGGTAGTATTTGAGGAAGATCCGGTGGGCGATCTGGTAGGTGTCCCCCTGGGGCGTGGCCGGGTACTTCCTCTTGTTGTAAATGAATCCCTTTTCCACCTGTGAGACTGCCTGGTTGAAGCTGTCCTGACTGAAGGGCAGTCCACTGTCCAGACACTCCACAAGCGTCTGGACAAACAGCCCCCAGCGCTGCGCGTAGTAGTCCTCCATGAGACCCCCCCACTCTTTGCTGGCATAGTCCAGGATCTCCCCACTGGGGCCCCACAGAGTCAGCTGGTTTCTGGCGTTGAGCTCGTAGAGCTGGGCCTCCGCCTCGTCCAGCGCCAGGGAGCGCGCCCGCTCCAGCCACGCCCCCAGCAGGAAGTGGCGGTTGCTGTTGAGCAGGCGGCTGAGCTCCGGCATCAGGTCGTAGATCAGCACGCCGCCCGCCGTCAGCAGCTCCGGCATTTTCTTCTTCTGGAAAGCATCTGCGATGTCCTGGTAAAAGGAGGTGGTCAGATCCTGCAGGACCTGCCGGGTCACGTCCACCAGGTCGTACCGGAAGGTCTCCTGGGACGCCACGGAGGGCGCCGCCTCCACCAGCAGCCTCCAGGCCTGGAACAGCTGCGCGGGGTCGTACCAGGTCTGCGTGTTGAGGTGGAAGGAGGGCCGGCGCACCAGGGGGCTGTGGTTGTGGTTGCGGTAGTGGGGCAGGGTGCAGTTGTAGACGCTGCTGAACAGAAGCCTCCAGGCGGCCGCCAGCCCCTCCTGCGTGCTGCCGTAGCGCCGCAGCGCGTACAGAGACGCCCACTTGGCCAGGTTGACGGGCTCCTTGCGCCAGGCCAGTTCGCTCATGAGCTCGTAGATCACAGGGTTCTGCTCGATGCCCTCCGGGGTCATTCCTATGCCCACCAGGGTGGAATTGGGGAAATTCAGGGCTTTGAAGGGTCCCGAGTTGATGCTTTCAACTGTGCCATAGAAGCCACTGTTGCCCCCGAAGTTGTGGAGCATACACCAAATGAAGGGCTGCCCATAAAAGGATTCTGTGTAGGAGAAGATGGGCTCGGTCTCTGCAAACAAATCCAGCACAATCATCCGTCCTAGGGGCACTCCGTGTAGAAGGGCCTGGATCTGGGGAGGCCTCCAGAATCTGGCATCACTGAAGAACAGCCAGCCCTGCATCAGCCACACGGCCTGAGAATCCACTGAGGAGGAGAACAGACCAAAAGGATTGGGTTAGGGTGGACAACCCTTCCTCATGAGGCCCCAAACTGCATCAGACCAGG